GAAAAATGTACACAGATGGGCTAAGAGAAGGCAAGTCACAATTTTACATCTGTTGCAACTTCAAAACCGCAATTGTACTGCTTTAATAATATTTCATGTCTCGGTGGGGTGGTTTTCCCACTGACCATTGCAGAAATGACTGAAACGAAGGTGGTGATCTGTTAGATATGTCATTTGAAAAAAAAATGAAAAAGAACCTAACAATATCCTCAGAGAAGACATTCTATCACTATATTGACTTCCATCTCTGGGAGATCTTTATCGATAGATGAAGGTAAATTTTTTTCTTAACCAGACTGTCCCTCGTTTTTGGGAATTAGAAGAAATTCCAAAGCGATCTTTATTGTCTCCTTCGGACCAATACTGTGAAGATAATTATAAGCGCACAACATATAAGGACTCTAATGGCAGATACGTGGTATCTCTCCCAATTAAACCCGAATTTAACGGCCAAATAGATCTCAGACATTCGAGGACAAATTGTCTACTACAACAGTTCCTTCGCAATGAGGCATAACTCCTTAGAAAACCTTACGTTAAAGAAATATATGATGGAGTAGTTCTTGAATATTTAAATTTAGACCATATGAGGCTACAGTTTGTTATCTTCCTCATCATCCGGTCATCAACTCAGATAAACAAACTACAAAACTACGGGTTGTTTTTAATGCTTCTAACAGAACATCAAATGGGAAAAGCCTCAACCACATTTTGCACGTCGGTCCGTCCCTTCAACTTGACTTGTTTCTCCTACTTTTATGATGGAGATTATATCAAAACGTTTTTAATTGTGACATTACTCAAATGTATCGACAGATACAAGAAAATCCTGGTCAAACGGGTCTCCAGAGAATTCTTTTCAGGGATTCTCCCAATAATCCTATCCAAGATTATGAGCTACAGACGGTAACGTTTGGATTTAATTGCGCTCCCTATTTAGCCATTCGGACACTATTACAGTTGGCCGATGATATTGAATCTCAATTTCCTCATGCTGCACACATCCTACGGAAGTGCATGTACGTTGACGACGTCTTGTCGGGATATCATGACTTGGAGACTGCACATAGATCGAGAGACCAACTTATTAGGGGTTTAGGTACCGCCAAATTTGAATTACGAAAATGGACATCTAATATCCGTTCTATCCTAAAGCCACTTCTCCTCAAACATTCAATAGATTCTCAAATTCTTAATTTCGTGGAAACAAGTAGTTCCAAATCTCTAGGCATTAGATGGAATGCTCAATTGGATATTTTTACTTTAATGTCAAGCCTCTTGTCTACAAACCTAATTATACCCAACGGGAAGTGCTTTCCGCCATTGCTAAATTATTTGATCCTAGAGGTTGGTTAAGCCCAGTAATTATAGTAGCAAAAATTATTATGCAACGCATATGATTGGGATGATTCTCTTCCGTATTCGACGGAAAAGGATGGGCAGAACTTCGTTGAAACATATCAGGGTGTTAAATCTATTCAAATATCTCGCTGGGTCAAATATAAGCCTGATTGTGTAGCCGAACTTCATATTTTTTCTGATGGCTCTTAGAAGGCATACGCGGGGGTGGAGTACATCCGTATAATTGAAAAATTCGTTTTCTACCGAAGTAGACCCCAATAAGATTTTATTCCCATATAAAATCTCGTGTCTTCTTGCATGTTAAGTTTTTTCCATATTGACTGGTATCTATAGAAGATCTTCAAAAGACTTTTATCTATATAAATATATAAATGTTAATTTTCCATAATATTCATCAGCAAGATTTATCCCGCAAGGTATCCTTTTCACACTTCTCAAAATACCAAAAAGAAAGATCACAGAAGACCTCAAAAAGGTTGATAGAATTTACAATACGTTCATAAGTACATAAAAATCTTAATCAAGGCCCCAAGATGTTTTTCTCTAAGACTTCAGCGATGGAAGTCTTTCAAAACTGGTTTTACCTATAGAAAATAATACCAATATCATGAAAAGGATATCCCCAGTCTATAGATTACATCACAACAGATCTTCAGTCCATAGAAATCCAAAATAAGAAACATGTTATACCCTCCGCAACGACGAGTAACTAAAAATAAGTAAAAAGTGTCAGTCGGTGTTGCCGACAGATAATACCCTAATGGTTTGCGGAGGTCTTCGGAAATTCACAGAGGTTTTATCATACGCTTTATATAATGTATATTTTTATTAAAGAGGTTTCAGATTTAATGTTGATTAAATTGGTTATTCAATTTGTTTTAATTTAATAAAATTTATAATTTTATAAAATACTAACCCTTTTCAGGGAGAGAATTCATCTAGGCTAGGTAGTGCAAAGTTTGATTCAAATCGGACATTACTTTCGCCATATGTGGGATTTATAATGGTCCAATTCTCAAAAAGGGAAGGTACCAGAAGTAGTGGACCAATGGGTACCATCATCCTACTTGATCTAGGCTTACTAAATATACTAGGTTGTACAAAGTTTGGTTCAAATAGGATAGTCCGTTTGGGTGATGTTATCAAATTATTTTTTTTGCACAATTTTGTGGCGGAAGTACCTGAATGAGTGGAACAATGGGTCTTCGGACTTGATCTAGGCTTGGTAGAGATAATAGGTTGTGCAAAGTTTGTTTAAAATTGGATATTTCGTGCGCCATTTATTTCAGTTTATAAATATTGCTAATTTTGACCATTTGTGGGGTAGGTACCAGAAGGGGTAAACCAATGGGTACCATCTTCGGACTTGATCTAGGCTTAGTAAAGATAATAGGTTGTGCATAATAGGTTGAAAAAAATATCTAAAATGTGCGGAGTTATACTTTGTGTGAGCTGTATACATTTTAAAAGTCAGTGAATTTATATATATGCTTCGTACGGAATTGAACTTTGTGTCGTATTAGTAATAATAATTGAATATCAGTAGGCGTATTATTATTATTATTCCTCAATGTAAATCATACGCTCCCAAGCCGAATAAGGTAATTTGACGGCAGTAATAGGGGAGAATCATATTAAACCATTAAGGGGACCCCTCCATTCTCTGGGTCAAAAATTTTTCTGATTTAATTCGATTCTACACTAATTCAAGAGTCTCCCTACAAAATTTCAAGTGAAAATTTCAATAACTCTTGAAAATATAGCCGATTTATTGTGTCAGCATCAAGGGACGGCTAAAGGGCTTCTCAAACTTTAAACGCGTGTTTCTCTTTTGCGAATGGCGGGCACGATAACTCAAAAACTAATGACCCAATCGATTCCAAATTTTTACACGTTTCTCTGTGAATGTATAGCTATCGTATGAACTAGGATAAAGCCAATCGGTGAAGATCTTCCTTATTTATTAACTTGGTTTTTGGTCCAAAATCGGCGATTTTCCAAAAATATTTTAATATTTTATATAATTTTAGAGCGAAGTCAATAATCCTAGTTCATACGAGAGCCAGACATGTACTCTTTCTAACACCGTTGGAATTTTCGGATTCCGATGTTCCAGTGAGGAGTTATCATGCCCGCCATCAATTATAAGGACTTTTCTTTAATTACAAAAAACAACAACAAACATTTTTTGTAAATTATTTTTCTTCCCTTTTAAATCTTCAAATATATATGTGCAAAGTTACACTCCTTAACAAGCATTGGAATTGATTTACCATTCCATTGAAAATCTTGAAAAATTAAAATCGAGAATGGGAAAGTGGTTAAGTCGGTCTGGGCTGATTATATGATACCCTTCACCACTTTGGGTATACTCTACATATGCATCCTAACAATTTCATGTCAGTGTTGCCTCGAACGGACATTAGCACAGATCATTATAGTACGCTATTCCAAATTTCGTCCAAATCGAAAGATATATAGGGACTTTGGTGCACCATTTACATAAAATCGGACGTAAATATATATGGAAGCTATACTTAAATCTAAACCGATTTTCACGAAACCTAACGCAAATCATTCTAGACTTAATTCAGTACGCCATGCCAAATTTAGTGTGAATCGAAAGATTAATAGAGACTTTGGAGCACCAATTACCTTAAATCGGATGAAAATATATATAGGAGCTATATATAAATCTGAACCGATTTTTCCCCAATTTCAATAGGGTTCGTCCTTGGGCCAAATAAATGAGCTGTGTCAAATTTCATCCAAATCGAATGATAAATGCGACCTGTATTTTGTTTACAATTTTCAAAAGAAACACAATCTTACCTTTTCGAACTCGAAGTCTAAATAGAGAAAATCTTATAATTCTATTTAGAGATCCTCAAAGAATACGGTATCAGTATTTTAAAAGAAAATCCTATTTGGAAATCGTGCTAATCCTCAGGATCCCATCTTCATAAAAATGACATTCTTTTTACATCACATAAGGGGACCCCTTTCAAAATAAACATTCCAAAAAGCATACCTTTTCAAATACGAAGTCTAAATTCCTATTATTCACCATTTCATGAATAATTCATATCCAGTTCGCATAGCACGCTTATTCAATTATTTGCCTAATGAGTTGAAAGATTTTAGCATTACCCCGGCTACATACTCTAAACGTCTTCTTAGACATTTCGATTAGTTTCTTTTTAGAATCATCGATAGTCCATTATATGCACTATAATTTTTGAGCGCAAAGCGGTTATTTATTTTTTTCATATCAGTTTTAAAACATAAGATATTTGAAGTTTTTGATCTCATTTATTATTTTTTTTGTATCTTATTAAGTTACTTTAATTTTTTTGTTCTAAGTTTTTTTTTGGACATTTCTCAATGTCCATGTTTTTAGAGTAGTGCCATATATCAACGATTTTGCATAATGTATTCATAATAATTGGCCAAAGAAGGCTTTGTGTACATGTAAGAGTTTAAATAAATAAATAAATAAAATAAATAGAGAAAGATCTAACAAAGCTTTCCTGTGAAGGGGTAGGCTTTATTAGACCCTTTTTAGTGAGAAAATACCTCAGTATACGTAGAAATATTATCTTACCAAATCCCGTATCTTTGTTATCTTTCAATTGCAGCTCTCATTTCCCAACTACACATTTTTATCGTACAAATACAATCCGGAATATGGTGTGTGTAATCTGACAAATTTCAACAAAGAACTACCGGCCGATACAAAGTTACCCACATTACAGGCGAGGCTTAAGCGTCTGCTGCAAGATGTGGAAATTCAGTCAAAGTAAGTAAACATAAAATAAGCAACAACCACCTTATCTAAAATTATCTTCTCGTCTCTTCTTTAGGGCTCACATGCGTGAAAAATTCCTGGCTGATTTGCGACAAGCCCGTGAAACCTATGCCACCAACACAAAGAGATTACAAAGTATTCTGCATGAAATGCGCAAACGTCTGGATGACGGTCATGTGTTGTCAGGAGAAGTGGTACACAGTTTTATGTGTTCACTGCGAGATGTCCAAGACTACGATGCCATGGTGTGTTTGGTAAATGATTTGAAGAATATTCCAAACACCAGGAAATATGTGGAAACGGGAAATATGAGTTTTCTCTATGCCTTCGCCTTAAATCGCCGAAACAAGAAAGGTGATCGTGAAAAAGCCTTAGAATCGTCGCTTAAAGCATTGGAAAAGAAGGAAAATGAATTTCCTGATATGTTGTGCCTTTGTGGTCGTATCTATAAGGATATATTTGTTGAATCCGATTACACAGATACGGTCAGTTTGAAAAATGCCATTAAATGGTATCGTCAAAGTTTTGAGGTTCAGCCAAATGAATATGCTGGCATTAATTTGGCCACCCTTTTGGTTATCGATGGTAAAGAGTTTTCCAATACGGAAGAGCTACAACACATCGGAATGACTCTTAACAATTTAATTGGTAAAAAGGGTAGCCTTTCTTCGCTAACAGAATATTGGGATGTGGCAACATTTTTTGAAATATCTGTCTTAGCTGAAGATTATGCCAAGGCCATAAAGGCAGCGGAATGTATGTTTAAGCTGAAACCACCGGGGTGGTATTTAAAGTCCACCATTGGGAACATAAGTCTTATACATCGGTTTCGCAAAAAGGGCGATGATCATCAGCCCACCATTGAGGAGCAAATATTTCAATTTTGGATGGATTTCTTTTTGGATGCCACCGATAGCAGTAAGATAAGTAATATACGATTTCCCATATTGGTGAGTGAGCAAAAGAACAATAATTTTGAAATTCAAATTTAATTGTGATTTTCCTTTTTAGATTTTGGAACCCCAAAAAATCTATATGCCCAGTTATGTCAACATCAACATGGACGCCGAGGAGAAGTCCATACAAATAATCAACATTTGCCTCGCGCATGCCAAAAATGAATGTAAAAAAGTCCATGATTTTGTTTTCACTGCCTCCCAGATTAAATCGGTTAGCTTGTATAAGCGTGACGATCGTTGTGCTTACCTTTATGTTCATCATAATTCAGATGATTTTCAAATTTATTTCCCCTCCACCGAATGTCGTCAACGTTTCTATGAGCTAATATTAGAAATGGTGTCGGATCAAGATGTCTTTGTCAATCTGAATGAAGAAGAAACACCTCAAATTGAATACGAATATGATTATGATGATCAAAATCGTAAAATAATATTAGGTAAAGGTACTTATGGTACGGTCTATGCGGCTCGAGATAAACATACACAAGTTAGAATAGCCATAAAGGAGGTGCCCGAAAAGAATTCACAAGAAGTCCAACCACTGCATGAAGAGATTAAATTGCATTCACAGCTGAGGCATCGTAATATTGTGAGGGTAAGTTTGGAATATAATAGAACGTTATAAATGGAGTTATAAGCAGATATAAAAATAAATAATAAATTATTCATCTTCTTAGAGAATCTTTGATCTTCTAATGCCTGACCTGTAGAAAGGATCAGTGTTTGGTCTTTCATAAACAGACGTTCTCTAAAGTTCTTTGATCGTCATAGAAATGCATTTCTGGTCCTCATAAGAAGGCCCTTCTGGATTTATACGAAAATATTTAAAAAATAGACTGGTATTGAACAATAACCTTTTGAGATTACCCAAACTCTGATTCTCCCAAAGGATACATTCTCGCCGATCATTTTAGTCTTAAATTGCCTGTCCCCTACAAAATATGTTTCTGGTCCCCCTTAAAGAGGTCCTTCTACTTCTAAAAAGAGAATATTCTTATTTCCTAAAGGGTGATCCCCTTGGTCTTCCAAAGAAGTTCATTGTGCTCATATAAAACCCTCTTATGGAGGACTTTTTCCATGTGACCATACAAAAAAGTCCTTATCAGTCCTATAAAATCATTTTCAAGGAAAAATTTCGGAACACCTTAAATATAATGAGGCCCGGTTGTAATGAAAAGAATATGCTTGTGGCTTTTCAAATGCTTCGTCTCCTTGAAAATATATTTCTGGTCCACAAAAAAGAGGTCATCCTTCATCTAAAAGAAGTATTCTTATTGTTCTCTAAATGATCCCCCTAGTTATATGGTTCGCTAAAAGAGGACACTTCTAGTTTTCTACAATCCCTTATGGCCTTCCACAATTTGACCCTGATCTAAAGAACCTTGCTGTATATGAGTGAATAAATTCTGGAACTCTAAGAGAAATGCTGAGGAGGTCTTCAAGATGAAAACGTTTTGGGGTTTTTTTTGGTCTGCTAATGGAAACACACTTATGCTTTCTATATGGAGACATTTTCTTCCTTCTGTTGATGGTCTATATGTAATCCTAGGTCCAGAGATATTTTATCTAACATTCCCAACTGGTTTTCTTTCTTTTCAGTACCTGGGTTCCCTCTCCGAAGATGGCTATTTCAAAATCTTTATGGAACAAGTTCCTGGTGGTTCACTCTCCGATCTGTTGGAAAAGAAATGGGGCCCCCTGAAGGATAATGAATCAACAATGGCATTTTATTCCAAACAAATCCTCGAAGGTCTTAAATATTTACATGAACAGAAAATCGTACATCGAGATATCAAAGGTGATAATGTGCTGGTGAATACATATAGCGGTGTGGTGAAAATTTCCGATTTTGGTACATCGAAACGTTTGGCTGGCATTAATCCAATGGTTTCAACCTTTACGGGTACGCTCCAATATATGGCCCCCGAAGTAATTGATTTGGGTTTTCGTGGTTATGGTCCAGCTGCTGATATTTGGTCATTTGGTTGTACAAATGTTGAAATGGCAACGGGGAAGAGGCCATTTATTGAATTGGGTTCAGCACAGGCGGCAATGTTTAAGGTGGGATTCTACAAGAAGCATCCAACAATACCCGATGAGCTATCACAGGCTGCTAAGAATTTCATTCTTCGATGTTTTGCCATCCAGGAGAATGAAAGGCCAACGGCAGCCCAGCTACTGGAAGATCCCTTCCTGACAGAGTATGTTTTGAATGCGATTTATTGAGGATATTTTTCTAAGGTGAATTGTTTTCTTTTTAGTAAACATCGCAAATTGAGGTTAGGACCACCCTCAACGTCAGATTTCAATCGCAGTATTTCAGTGCCAGCTGATCGTTTGGTTAGCAGGCCCAAATCTGGTAATACCCCCACAACACCAGAGATAGAGTAAGTTGGCAATGGGATTCATTTGAATACTTTATTTTTATTTAATTCTGTTATTCTCCTCCTTTTGCAGAGGTTTCCACAGTACCTCCGTTGATATTGAAAATCTTCCCAGCCATCAATCGCTTACCATGACAATGGAACGTCGTAACTCTTCCGGCACTTTGCTGTCACCCGAAATTGAAGTCTCCACACCCTCCTTGCGCACCGGTGCCAGTTCCGAGACCAGTGAAACTAATGATTTTTATCATCTCAAAAAAGAATCTCAACGTCGTACTACTCTCTCCAAAGTCCTGACGACGGATGAGTCAAAAATATGCGATTTATGGTTGGAAAAATTGAATGAAGAACACAATAATATTGTGGCCCTAACCAAAGCAGAATTGCAAAAACTCTTAAGTGGCATACGAGAATATATTATGAATGAAAAAGAGAAACATTTAGAGGCTTGCATAAATAGCTTAAAGGAAGAACTCAACTATGATGCTGCTGCATTGGATCATTTGCATTTGGCCTTGTATTCATTTCAAGATGCCGTTATCTCAGTGTTGAGATTACACTCCATCAAACCTCATTGGATGTTTGCTTTGGATAATTTAGTCAAACAGGCGGTACAGGCTTGTGTTATGATTCTCTCTCCCGAATTGGGTGCCAATCTACTGGGTAAAGATCCCTCACTTATCGACGACGAAAGTGTACACAATCAACAACACACATCGACAGATAGTCAAGAGAAAATGATCGCCTATGAAGCGGCTCATGCCCAAAGCACTACACCAGCAATGGATGAAGATAGTAATAGTTTTTCTTCCACCGAATGTGTACGGCTGTTGCGTGACATTAAAGAATCAAATCGTAAATTTCATTATCAGCATTTGGAACATCAAAAACAAAGTCTTAAAGCTCTGCAGAATATCAGCAAAGAATTGGCTCATTTCTATATGGGTCGTAAGAGGACTAGAAGATCACGCTACAGCTCGGCGGGTAGTAAGAAGCCTAATCGTCAATATAAGAGACAATTTGCAAGGCGTTCGTTTAGTATATACAATGGTGGTCTACAGGAAGTCGATGAACAACTCGAGGAATGGTTAACCCGCAATGATGTCGATGAAATATCGAAAAATGTTATCCTTAACGAGGGATTCTCCTATGAAGATTTTATTTACAATATGGATAAATTGGATTTAATGCGTTTGGAATTAAGGTAAGCAAATGAGAGGAAGAAATATTCTAAAGAAGAGCCGTCCTTAGTCAAAAAGCCTTTGGGCAATCTTCGAAAGAGACCATAATATATTTTATGGAAATTTATTAAAAGATTTTTGTAGATTTTTTTAAAGAAAATATCAGAAGACGAAGGTCTTATAGTTCTTATCTTTTATAAAGAAAGTCGAAGACGTGATATGGCTTAAGACACTCATAAAGATAACGACCATAATAACTTACTGTCTAGAGTTCGGATCGGCGGTCATAATTTAAAGAAGATTGGAATATCGAAAGCATTATTTAACGGAAGAATACGAGAAGGGCTTTTATATGGTGGAATATCAGATAGTCTTCCTTAATTGAAGAGTACCAGTTGTGTAGAAAAAAGAAATTTACTTTTTTGTGGGAGAATTGTTGTTGTAACAACTTAAATATCAGAAAAAGAAATCGTTATACATGGTCTTCTTCTCCTCTGTATCCAAATTCAGGAAGGTTGCAATTTCCTGTTCCCATAACAATCGGATCTACGCTCCGGAACGATCCGAGTTCGACTCGGCCAGGGATTGTCAACTCAACGACAGCTGTTCCAAACGAAAGTTTTTTCCACGGGTGAATAACTCATATCGACAGCTTTGCTTGCTATTCATTTTATTCGTGTCACCGTTGAACAAAACCCAGGTCCTGGTTTTGTTCTGTGTGTCATTTACGTATCGCTGCTAATTCCAACTCAGTACGAAGCAATGTTTGCAACAATTGGTGTCACATTAGGAGGTGTTCAGGTCTCACCTTACACCGCAACTGGTCGCACAACTTAATTGCCAGCTGTTGTCCAACAACCCCAAGAAATTCCATCCCTTCTCTGTAATCTGTTCAGAACTCCGATTGGAAGTGTTCGGTTTGCGGGGAAATTATAAGGAGAAACGTAACATTTGTAAGGTGCAATGGTTGCAGTAACTGGTGCCATATGAGAAGATGTACCACCCTTCGTTCACACAGAAATTGGAATTCCGGCTTTGTAGCCGATTGCTGTAATATCCGCTAGAACCCAGTTGAGTCTATCCAGTACTACGGATAGCACTCCGACTAGCTTTCCATCCGGTAGTATTAGAGCTAGTTTTCCGTAAAGCAGAACTTCTGCCTGTTCCAATGCTGGTAGTCCGACTAGTTATTTTACCAGTGATTCCAGTACTACGGCTAGCAATCCGTCTAGTTCTTCATCCAGTAGTAATACCACTTGTGTTCATGCTGGTAGTCAAGTTAGTTATTCTATTATTATTAGCTTCTCTTCCTAGCACTCCGCCTAGCCATTCATTAAGTAGAATTCATTCTAGTGTTCTGACTAGCACTTCTTCTAGTCATTCAATTCCAACTTCGAATGCTCAAAACTTCCCATCCAGACAACAGCGTTATAGGTTTACAGTTCCCCGAAAAATTTCATCCGCCTGCCTCGACAAGGGCACCTACAGCAGCAGTCCATGCAGGGGAGTGATCCAAATACCTCATTCCTAATCATGAAATTTTATTTTTATGGTCTTTAGAACAAGGGAATTGTGATCACAATCTTTATGCATGAAAACAACATCCTCATTGCTGCCTTGCAAGAAACAAAACTGACCCGCAACATCATTCGGCGAGACAGAGATAGGGACCATGGTGGGGGTCTCGCATTCAACATTCAGCTACATGTCAGATATACCCTGACTTCCCCTCCGTCTCTTTCCCAGTCTGATCGTTTCCTGGAGGTTTTGAGCATTTCAGTGCATTCCGAAAGTATATATTTCGCGCGTCAACAATATTGGGACCAGTTGTCATCCAAGCATCATCCATCTGCTGCATGGCGATAATAAAATTGTTCTTGGCGATTTCAACGCTCCTCATGAGATATGGATTTCTAAATGATCCTCACGGTATTTTTATTGCATACCAGATATACGAGTCCGATTTTGCTTCCATCAATGAGGAATCATCTACCAGAGTCGCTGCCAGGTGTTCGAGATATCCGGACATTTGCATCGTTAGTTCATGGCTCCTTCCGTATACTTCCTGGTAAATCATGGTCGCTTTAAATTCCGACCATATTCCCATCCTTGTCACTGTAGAGCGATGAGCGTACTTTCATGATATATAAATCCAACTGACACGACTTCACAAAATTCATTGAGGACTCCTTAAGTCCTATGCCGCCATACGTATGTGCCAGAAAGGGTGAGAAGATATTCCGTGAAACTATTCTAAAAAGGGACTAAACGCTTCATTCCTGCGGGCAGAATTCCTCTAATAAGAATTCCAGCTTTCGACTGTTCTCCATCGACTATTATGTTCTCTGGTAGCTTCATTTCAGACATCTACGTCATGAACAGCATTGCTGTGGATTTGATGGCGGTCATTTTCATATTCCTCAGATGGAAAAGTCTTGCAAGATCAGCGATAAAGATGTATGTTTATCATCACACATATATCATAAATAATTGATCCTGGCGAATGTTTGTGGAATATTACAAAGGTAGAAGTTGAACAGTTCCGATAAAATCCCTCCATATTGGGTAACTTCATGTTTCACTCTTTCGGTCTTCGACATATAGTTGATTTTCCAACGTTTCAAACATGAAATGTGGTCTTTTCTATGTCCTTGAATAGCTTGATATGGTTGAAGGTATCGAAGGGGGCAGGAGAATTCTTGTATTCATAGATAAAAATATTAAATAAGAAATCCACCTTTTAGAAGAAGTAGTTAGAGAATTTCTATGAGCTAAAGCTCTTTTGGCCTTCGGAAAATGTTGACATACATACAAAGCATTGTTTCGGATTCTCTTCTCTGAAATGAGAACTACAGATGATTATCTACAACTATGAAATATGTCTTTGTATTCATCTTCTTTTTTTAAATAAGACCTGTAAAAGAAAACTATCTGAACTTATTTTATTTTTAATTAATTTCTCATTTCAGATTGGGTATTGAAGTACGCCTATGGTCGCTAATCACACAAATTCGGGCACAAACAGTGCCAATGAATATCGGCAGTAGTTCGACAGATGAACGGCAATTGACAAACTCAACTTCCTATGTAAATAATAATATTGCCTATAGCAATAATACCATGTTAAATAATTTAAATAACAATAACACTACTACAACAACAACAAACAGCAATAACAACAACAATAATAATAATTCTGTGGCCTTAAATCATAAACCAACACGCAGCTCCTTAAGACGTAACAGTAGCAAACGTTGTGACAGTGAATATGATTCGTGTAGTGAATAAGTTCTGTACAAAAAACAACAACAATTCTTTCTTTTTTTGTTAAAAAAGAAAAAAAGCTTTTTTGTTTTTTATCCCTAACCTCACTTTCCTTTTAAGTTTATTTTTGTATTTTTTTAATTATTTAAAAAATACAAAAATGAAAAGAAATTACAAGAAAATGCAACGCACATTTAATAAAACAATACTAGTTTTTCCTTCTTTATTTTTATTAAAGAAAATAGGATATAACTCTGAAAGTAATAATAATAATTCTTATTTGTTTTTGTTTTAATTGTTAAATTATTATTAATTAATTATTTCCCAACTTTCTACTACATTTTTCCTTCCCCCTTTGCCTAACATTATAATTGTTTAATTTAATTTTTATATTATTATTTTTTAAATGCTTATTTAATTTTTTTCTTTTTGTGAAAAAAAAAACTTATATATTTTTTTTAATATAAATTTTCTTCCATGCCCGCTTCCCTATCACCCCCTGCCCTGCCCCATATTGACTTTGTGCCTTCGACAGAAGTTAAAGCTGATCTAAACAAAAAAATCTGTTAAGTTTAAAGTAATAATAAATGATACAATTTTGAATGAAATACTGTTTTTGAAAAACAAACAAATTTATAAAAAAAATAATAAAAAAATTGAAAATTTGAAATTTCTATTAACATTGTTACCTTAAAAAATAGTAATGGCCTTAATTGTTATTAAATGTTTGTATTTGTTTCTCACACATACTTTTTTTGAGTATTATTTTCTTAATTGCAGTTTTAGCTGGAGAATCATCTACCACTTCAATTGGATTGAAGAACAATTTGAAACAATTTTGACATATTTGCATTTAAAGTTATAATTTCAATGGATGATCCTCAAAATAAATTAAAACATTTGGACCTACACTCCAAAGTCATCCAAACTCTTCGCATCTTTCACAATAATTGGATCTACATTCCAGAAGGAATAGATTCCCATTCGGAAGGGTATTGCATATCAGGCTAAACTGTATCAACCGAATTGTTCGTGAGTATATTATCATATTTTAATTGTGTCATGCAACCCCATCCTTCTAGTAGGATGTAAAAACGATGCGGTCATACTAGAGGCAACGGTTAACACTCTCTACACCACATGTTACAATGTGGGTCTGATAGTAAATGGCGAGAAGACCAAGCTAATAGTATCAACGCGCAAGACGTCCCGTAGACTCGAACAAGCTGTAGCTTGAGGAACAACACATGTAACTCGCATACGCCGATGACATCGACATAATGGGTCGAACGTTGCGAGTGGTATCTGCTATCTTTGAACTAATTGAGGATATTGCCAAAGTGGGTCTGGTAGTAAATGGCGAGAAGACCAATCTGAGGGTATCAACGCGTAAGACGTCCAGTAGACACGGACCAACTGTGGAACTTGAGTAATGCAGCTTTGAGGTAGTCAACGATTTTATATATTCCAGTACCGCCATAAATAAGACTAATGACATAAGTTATGAAATTCGGAGAAGGAAGTAAACAATTTAGAAACAAGGCCACCTCTCGCCAGGCCAAACTCACATTCTACAAGACGCTGATACTACCCGTGCTGGTGTATGAATCAGAAGCATAGGTCCTTGCGCAAGCAGATGAGGCAGCTCTTGGAGTGTTTGAGAAAAACATTCCCCGAAAGATATATGGGCCGATCTGTGTCGACGGTGAATATCGCCGTCGAATGAACCATGAGTTGTACCATTTATTGTCGGACATCGAGCTGCAGCGAGGATGCCCCAACTCAATAGCCATATAAAAGCGAGCTTCGCTGATGGTTCACATAGAAGACGAAGGCCACGAATTCAATGGAAAAATCAACGTGCAAGTAGACTCGGACCAATTGTGGAACTTGAAAACTACAGATTCGAGATATTCAAAAATTTTTTATATCCCGGTACCGCCATAAATAAGACATAAGTTATGAAATTCGGAGAAGAATAGTGTTGGCTAACAGATACAGGTCTAGTAAACAATTTAAAATCAAGGCCACCTCTCGCCAGACCAAATTCACACTTTACAAGTCCTGATACTACCCGTGCTGGTGTATGGATCAGAAGCATGTATACTTGCGCAAGCATATGAGGCAGCTCTTGGAGTGTTTGAGAAAAAATTCTCTGAAAGATCTATGGGCCGATATGCGTGAGGTAAATATCACCGTCGAATGAACCATGAGTTGTACCATTTATTCTCGGACATCGAGCTGCAGCGAGGATGCCCAGCTCAAAAGCCATATAAAAGCGAGCTTCGCTGATGGTTCACATAGAAGACGAAGGCCACGAATTCAATGGAAAAATCAAGTGGAAAACGACGCGCCTGGAAATCTTTTTTAAGCTCACAAGCCAGTTAATAAGCGCATCCTTCTTTATGGCTCAGAGAGCTCTCTTTATTTGGGGAGAAACTTCAAAAGTGTAGCACATCACATGACATTTATTCGCAGAACTTTTACACTAATAGTGGCGTCGTCATTTCACTCAGTGTCAGCACGGGCAGTTTCGGTAAAAGCGGGTGTGATCTCCATTGATCTCATGACGGAACTGCGAAAAACTTTGTTTACATTATGGCAAAAACTGGATTTTCTTGGAACCGATGGACAGATCGCTATGATCGGAAACTATGAGTAAATGGCAAACACGATGGGAAAACAAAAGCAGAGAAAGGTGAGCCCTAAAGCTCATACCAGATGTGAGAAAATGGACGAGTAGGAGGCAGAAAAGCGTAATTTTTATTTTAAATAATTGCTATCCGAACACTAGTATTTCCGAAAATATCTGTACATGCTAACATGTATCTTATGTGTATATTATAAAGGTGAAAGTTGTATTGAAAATGCCATCAAACTTTCTTCGATTGGGATCTGGTTAAGGAAGACTGCAAACAGAAATTGGCCAGGTATCTCGAGAAAACATAAAAAAGGAAACGTCGGAATCGCAAGAAATGTGGAGAAGTGTAGCAAAATACTGCGAAAACGTTATGAAAAAAGGAATTCATTGCAACTTCGATCATGTAAATTAATAAAAACCTTTACATGAATGATCCTTCGCCCTAAAAAGTCATAAAACTCAAAAATTCAGCTTGAGCATAGTGGGGTCATTTCTCCTGAACTGTTCAATCTCTACCTTTCCGATTTTCCACAACCACAATGGGGGGATCATTGTAGGATCATGGCGTCCGGACCCTTTTTTGATAGCATATATGAGAGGATAAATATCTGCATAGCTGATCTTGTACGTTTCTTAGCTCTCAGGAATATGAAAATGTCCGCCAACAAATCCACACTGTTCAACACCTGGGCGGCTGATATGAGCTATTTTTGAGCTTTTATAAATCAGACCCAAAAATTACAACACGAGCTACCAGTTTTCATCGCCAGAACACCTCAGGAGAATTGTTATTGATCTAGAGCGAGATCGTAGGAATGTTATACTCAGGGACCATCCTTCTTAGCATGTCTAATATTAGGATGGGAAGAATCGATATGTAACATTATTGGGGAAGAATCGATATGTAACACATGCCCAGTGGACTAGGACTACACTGCATGTGGTACCTATTTATGTTGATTTCGGACAACATGAGTTCCACTCTTTTAAATGAAGATTGCCAAGCCTTCGTCGAGTTCCTTGACCACTCATCCGAACATGTATATATCAATAAAACTCATTTTGCACACACAATTGTATTTTATTTCGTGTCTTTTTTTAGACGTTCTTATATATCTTTTTTTGGATTTTTGGTCTTTAATGACATTGCTTTAACAAGTTTATATAATTACAAATAATAGGTGATGTTCATAGTCCGAAAATCGTGAAATATATGAAATTCATATTCCATGAAGTTGTTTATGTCCTTGTTTCTCCTTCAGTCACCTGAGAACCGCAATCACTTCCAGTCACCTTATCATTATCCACTTTGCCAATGATACAACAGGGACATTTTTCTTTCAAGGCCAGACGATATTTGGGATGACTAGAACCATGAACAAAGTATTAACAAATTCTAAATTTTCTAGATCACGATTTATTACCTTGTCGCATAAACAATGGGATTATATACCGCTGCTGATTTTGCAAAACAAGCACCCCATACCGTATTCAATGGTGTTAGACCCTCATAACCGAACAAACCAATGCAGTTGATAATTGTATACGGTGTCCAGGCCATAAACCAAAGTGAAATTGTTACCAAAGCCACCTTGGCCAATTTTCCCTCAGCTGACTTTTCAGCATCCTCTGAAGAGCGCAGTGATTTCACATTCATTTTCTTGGCTTGGGCACGCATGTTTTTTTCATGTGCTGAAACGGCCTGAAAGGAAAAATAGTTTCTTCAATACTTATTGAAGAGTTCAGGAAGATAACTCACCGCAATGATGTACCAATAGGAATAGCAAATCAGAAATAGTGGTAACACATACACAAATATGGTATAGGCTATTAGATAGCTCACGGGATTCAAGTCATGATCCATATAATCAATGCCACAGGATGTTAAGTTGCCTTCGGGAACGTAACTAAAATTAATAGGGAGGACAATATTTTTCATATCCCATCTGAGCGTAGATTTATAAAAGTATATTTTTCAGAGCCCATCATAGCCTAGGTTTTTAAAAGTATATTTTTTCAGAGCCCATCAGAGCGTAGATTTTTAAAAGTATATTTTTTCTGAGCCCATCAGAGCCTAGAGTTTTAAAAGAATTTTTTTCAGAGCCCATCAGAGCGTAGATTTTTAAAAGTATATTTTTTCAGAGCCCATCAGAGCGTAGATTTTTAAAAGAATATTTTTTCAGAGCCCATCAGAGCCTAGATTTTTAAAAGTATATTTTTTCAGAGCCCATCAGAGCGTAGATTTTTAAAAGTATATTTTTTCATAGCCCATCTGACGGTAGATTTTTAAAAGAATATTTTTTCATAGCCCATCTGAGCGTAGATTTATAAAAGTATATTTTTCAGAGCCCATCATAGCCTAGGTTTTTAAAAGTATATTTTTTCAGAGCCCATCAGAGCCTAGGTTTTTAAAAGTATATTTTTTCTGAGCCTATCAGAGCCTAGAGTTTTAAAAGATTTTTTTTCAGAGCCCATCAGAGCCTAGATTTTTAAAAGTATATTTTTTCAGAGCCCATCAGAGCGTAGATTTTTAAAAGTATATTTTTTCATAGCCCATCTGAGGGTAGATTTTTAAAAGAATATTTTTTCAGAGCCCATCAGAGCCTAGAGTTTTAAAAGAATATTTTTTCAGAGCCCATCAGAGCCTAGATTTTTAAAAGTATATTTTTTTAGATCCCATCAGAGCGTAGATTTTTAAAAGTATATTTTTTCAGAGCTCATCAGAGCATAGATTTTTAAAAGTATATTTTTCAGAGCCCATTTGTCCGTAGATTTCTAAAACAACATTTTTTTAGAGGCTTTCTAAAAGAAATTTTTTCAAATGCTGCAGGGTCGTAGATTTCTAGAAGAATATTTTTCAAAGGCTATAGGAGCGTAGATTTCTAAAAGAATATTTTTTCAAAGGCTATAGGAGCGTAGATTTCTAAAATAATTTTTTTCAAAGGCTATAGGAGCGTAGATTTCTAAAATAATTTTTTTCAAAGGCTATAGGAGCGTAGATTTCTAAAAGAATATTATTTCAAAGGCTATAGGAGCGTAGATTTCTAAAAGAATATTTTTCAAAGGCTATAGGAGCGTAGATTTCTAAAAGAATATTTTTTCAAAGGCTATAGGAGCGTAGATTTCTAAAAGAATATTTTTTCAAAGGCTATAGGAGCGTAGATTTCTAAAAGAATATTTTTTCAAAGGCTACAGGAGCGTAGATTTCTTAAAGAATATTTTTTCAAAGGCTATAGGAGCGTAGATTTCTAAAAGAATATTTTTTCAAAGGCTATAGGAGCGTAGATTTCTAAAAGAATATTTTTTCAAAGGCTATAGGAGCGTAGATTTCTAAAATAATTTTTTTCAAAGGCTATAGGAGCGTAGATTTCTAAAATAATTTTTTTCAAAGGCTATAGGAGCGTAGATTTCTAAAAGAATATTATTTCAAAGGCTATAGGAGCGTAGATTTCTAAAAGAATATTTTTCAAAGGCTATAGGAGCGTAGATTTCTAAAAGAATATTTTTTCAAAGGCTATAGGAGCGTAGATTTCTAAAAGAATATTTTTTCAAAGGCTACAGGAGCGTAGATTTCTTAAAGAATATTTTTTCAAAGGCTATAGAAGCGTAGATTTCTTAAAGAATATTTTTTCAAAGCCTATATGAACGTACATTTCTAAAAGAATAATTTTTCAAATGCTATAGGGGCATAGATTTCTAAAATAATATTTTTAATTTTTAAAAGAGTATTTCTAATAGTTTTATCCTCTCTACTCACCGACTCCAACCCATAATCGGTGCAAATGTCCACACAGCACTCATGACCCATACAAATATTATTTTATAGATTGCCAAACGTATTGTCATCGGTTGCCCCGCCATACCTTTCACAATGACATTATAACGATCCAGTGCAATCATACACATTGACCAAATGGAACTGCAACCAAAACCCGAACCGAATGTAGCATAAATATCACACATCATTGGTCCCCATACCCATGTTTCGAAATATAAATTTGTTGCCATCAATGGGGTATTCAAAATCATCATACAAAAATCCGATATTGCCAAATTAATAACCAATAAATTGGCTGGAGTTCGTAACGCTTTTGTAGTGGCAAAAATATATATAACTGTACCATTACCAAACCATGCCATTAAACCGATAATTATTAGATATCCGGTTAAGATTTTATTCCAAATGGGATCCATGGGGGGAAATTGACTCCAATATGAGCTGACCAAATGTGCCATATCGGGGGTGACCTGGAATTGAGCAATGGAATCAGAACAAGTAAATAAAAAAATGAATTATAGCACATCGACAATTTTGACATATTTGCATTTAAAGTTAAGGAACCAAAGTTCAACAAAAACAATTCCTGGATACAGAAAATTTATTGTCCACATTTGAAAGGTTTCGTGGCGTATAAGTAACGTTGTTATTTATACGACCCAATGCCTCCAAGTTAATGTTTTTTACATACCTTATCCGTTACGGAGCCATTATTTAAAGGTGTAAAACGTGGTCCAAAAGGTTGTTCGGCAAATCTAGAAAATAAATGAATTAATTTGAAATGAAAATATTATTTTCTGTATGATATATCTACCGGTTATCCTTACATTTCCATATTGACCAATCTTCCTGGAATTGGTCCTTAAACTAGTAAATCATTTGTCCGTTTTATTTTTGTACTGCCAGCCCACGAATAAGTTTGTGTATTCTTTGATATCCAAAAGACCGACAATTGTGATGAACATTTTTGGCAAATCCACAAGTTTTATAGCATGACAAACTTTTCCGAACAATTGTTGTGATTGGAAATTTAATTAGGGGATTTAATTCATTGCCTTTAGTGTTTAATCTTTTGCCTTTGACCTTTTTGACTAAGCAATTATTGGATATTAACATGGGTAACAACTTTTGATAAGGGTTGGTTTAAAAAAATATAAAAATTATTTGTTCGAAGACCCCCTCATCGATTTTTTTAATAATACATTTGAATACTTTTAAAGACGTTGATTTATTAAATATTTTTTATGTAGACGTTTTCATTACTTCTAAGGACTTCGATTTTTAAAAAATATTTTTGAAATGCTTTTGAGGAGCGCCAGAAAAACGTTGTTGATTTTCAAAATATATTTTTTGAAGGCTTATAATTTTAAATACGTTTGAAAATATTTCTGAACTTTTTTACTCCACACTAATGTACAACTACCATTCTGGGCTTACTATCAGCAATAAGAGATTATCTTTGATTTTCACACCGACCTAAGAGGATTAGAGAAAAAATCTCGTCAACAAATTGAAACGCTACACTGATTCTTATGTGTATATCCGAAGAAATAATTGAGTAAGACCAACAGTAGTAACAAGAAGGCGCAAATAGAGAGTAAACCTCAGTAGTAAATAAATTTCGAATCGTTCTGCCCAAGATACAATAGTTGAATTTAATAGATGGGATTCTCTTTCTTGAATACGTAGCAGCTGAACTTGAAAAGGTAAATTTTATTCTATTTGAAGAAAGAAAATGTTCTTAATATTTTTTCTGGGCTAGTCAGAGCATAGATTTTTTTCATGGTTTAAAAGAGCTTAGATTTTTTAAAGATAATTTTTTCAATGCTTATCAGAGCTTAGATTTTTTAAAGAATATTTTTTCGAAGCTAGTCAAAGCGTAGTTAAAGTGTAGATTTGTTAAAGAATATTTTCAGAACTAGACGGAGCGTAAATTTTTAAGGCTAGTCGGAGCGTAGATTTTTTAAAGAATATTTGTTCAAGGCTTATCAAAGCGTAGATTTTTTAAAGAATATTTTTTCAAGGCTTATCAAAGCGTAGATTTTTTAAAGAACATTTTTTCAAGGCTTATCAAAGCGTAGATTTTTTAAAGAATATTTTTTCAAGGCTTATCAAAGCGTAGATTTTTTTAAAGAATATTTTTTCAAGGCTTATAAAAGCGTAGATTTTTTAAAGAATATTTTTTCAAAGCTTATCAGAGCGGAGTGGCGTAGGGGATGATAGATACCAAGCAACGGCTCTGATTGGCTCATCTCAATTGTGGGCACTGACCTCCCCGCGGTGCCACCTGGGGAGCTATTTCCATCACCCGATGAAATAGTGAGCTAATATGTGCCGCGAGTTCACCCACAAGAACTATAAAAAATTTGTTGAGGCATTGGGTTAGTTGCCCACTTTCGGAAAACCCAACCTACTATGAAAAAGCAAAGAAAACCAAACCCACCTAATGTTGACTACCCCGCAAACGTATAAAGGATCACGTTCTGCGACTCTGCACTTGGAATGTGCGCACGTTGGCGCAGGCGCAGTGTTCGCTTTGGCGGATGTACTCAAGAAGTACAAAGTATTGCCTTACAGGAAATGCGATGGAATGGGACTGGCGTAAGTAAATCAGATGATTACGCCCTGTATTATAGCTTCCATGAAACGAGACATGAATTTAGCTGCGGATTTATGGTTAATACGAGAATAAAATACCTCGTCTACAGATTCACTCCAGTAGACTCCATCCTCCTGTAGAGATGAAGAAGGAAACCTGGTGACAGATACAGACAGCGTGTTGAGGATCTGGAAGGATTATTTTGAAAAGCTTCTGGTATCAAATAGTGGTGGTGAAGAAGATACCCCAGAACCAATAGGAGATAACGGTATAGATTGTATACCACCTAGCTAAGATGAGGTCAGAGTAGCAATTAATCGGCTCAAGAACAATAAAGCAGGAGGAGCCGATGGGTTACCAGCCGAACTATTCAAGACTGGTGGTGAGATGCTGGTAGGGAACATGCACCAGCTGATTAGTACAATTTGGCTAGAGGAATACATGCCCAATGATTGGAACCTCAGCATACTGTGTCCGGTGCACAAAAAAGGAGACAAGACGATATGTGCCAACTAAGGAGGAATTAGCCTTCTTTCCATCGCATATAAAGTGCTATCCAGTGTGCTGTGTGAACGACTAAAGTCAATGATCAATGACATTATTGGACCATACAAATGCGGCTCCAGACCTAAAAAGTCCATCATTGACTAGATTTTCACTATGCGCCAAATCTTGGGAAAGACCCACGAAAAACACATCGATACATTCCACCTATTCGTCGACTGTAAATCCGCATTCGACAGCCCTATCCTTTCACAAGTGTTTAAAGACATGTCTTAAATTAATACGACTATGCAGGATAACTTTAAGTGGCACAAGGTCAGCAGTTAAAGTCGGAAAGGACCTATCGGAGCCCTTCAATACCGAACGATGATTCAGACAAGGTGACAGTTTGTTGTGTGATATTTTTAACATCTTGCTGGATATGCTCATACGAGACGCAAAGGTGAACAGAAATGGCACTCTGTACACCAAATAACACATGTTACCAGTACACTCGGGCCAACTGTGGGACTTGAGAACTACAGCTTCGAGGTAGTTAAAGATTTCATATACCTTGGTACCGCCATAAATAAAAAGAATGACATCAGTTTTCACAATCTGAGAAGGATAGATGCAACAGATGCTACTATGGTCTAAATAAGCAGTTTAGAAACAAGGCCACCTCCCGCCAGACCAAACTCACACCTTACAAGACTGGCTTATTACAGAACGGCTTATGGAACAACCGTTCTGTAATAAACCAGTTAAGTAATATTTTCTGGACATACCAGAGCATATATTTTTTTAAGAATATTTTTTTCTGACCCAAACACAACGTATATTTTTTAAAGAATCTTGTTCTACGCTAATCGAAGCGTATATTTTTTATAGATAAAAAATGCATGTCAATCGGGAAGACTTAAATGTTTGGTGTAATATTTGTATGAAATCCGCCAAACTTTTATGTGGGAGCTATATCTAAATCTGGACCGATTTCAACAAAAACTTCACAGATGTCAAACTGGACTGAATTCAGTACGCGGTGCAAAATTTTGTCTAGATCGGACCAATATTGGGAGTTTGGTGCACAATTTACATAAAATCGGACAAGACTATAAATAAGAGCTATATAAAAATCTGAACCGATTTCAACAAAACTTCGCGTACATTCGTCTGGACTTAAGTCAGTACTCTGTGCAAAATTTTGTTTCAATCGGAACAATATTGGCAGTATGGTGCAATATTTTCATAAAATCGGACGAAACCATATATGGGAGCTATATAACAATCTGAACCGATTTCAACAAAATTCGCATACATTCGTCTGGACTTAAGTCAGTACTCTGTGCAAAATTTTGTCTCAATCAGACCGATATTGGCAGTATGGTGCACCATTTACATAAAATCGGACGAACTATATATGGGAGCTATATAAAAATCTGAACCGATTTCAACAAAACTTCGCATACATCAATCTGGACTTAAGTCAGTACTCTTGCAAAATTTTGTTTAAATCGGACCAATATTGGCAGTATGGTGCACCATTTACATAAAATTGGACGAACTATATATGGGAGCTATATAAACCATTGAACCGATTTCAACAAAACTTCGCATACATCAATCTGGACCTAAGTCAGTAATCTGCGCAAAATTTTGTCTACATCGGACCGATATTGGAAGTTTGGTGCACCATTTACATAAAATCGGACGAAACTATATATGGGAGCTATATCTAAATCTGAACCGATTTTTCCCAATTTCATTAGGATTCGTTCTTGGGCCAAATATTATTTCGGATATGAAGGTAGATTACAACCACGGAACTGTAACTTTCTGCGGATTTTTATTCCGAGCCTGGGCAATATATCGATAGTTTCACCCTCTTATACAGACTTACACAGACTTATTTCCCGAATATTACTCATATTCAGTACAGTCTTTCTAATTACTTGTCCATATTTCCTTCATCGTGGATTGTGTTGTGATGTTCGGCTTACAATTGTGGCCTATATATAAAAAATTGGTCCACTTCATCCCAAAATTGTTATCTGATCATCACCGAAAATTACAGGCGTTGTCCTTGTCCTTGATCATAACTAGAACATCATGGAAGATTTCAATGCGATCAGCGCTATATTTCCGCCCTCCAGTGTGGTAATGGTTTACTAAATAATATCTGAATACGTAAGCACCTGTGAATATTTAAGTGTAACTCTCACATCCGAGTACATACGACAATATAATTGATATCAATTTAAAGGCCAACCACTCCTCTTGGATATACTATCAACTTCTCGGGTCTATATCCTTCAGAGGTAAATATACACGCAATCGATTACAAATTTTGTAATTTTTCACACAAAACTCAGGGTCCATTTGACCCGCTAAATATTGACCGATCTTTATCAAAACAGGCATGCTTATTCTTTGGCCCAAACCCCTTCTCCATGTGATGTTTGGGCCATAATTGCGACCTCTGAAGAGACCAGAAAAACGGAAAAAATTAAGTATTTGGTCAATTTCATCCCCTAAATATTAACCGGTCTTTCCCAAAAACAATAGGGGTCTTCATTGGGCAGAACCCATCCTACATGCAAAATTTCGTGAAGATATGGACTAATCTTCACGAAATTTTGCATGTAGGATGGGTTCTGCCCAATGAAGACCCCTGTGGCCTGTATCGTGCTTACAAATTATAATGGACAGACACACATGTCTAGATCGACTCAGCTAGTCGACCCACCTTCAAG